ATTGTCCCACGCGCAAATGTTGCAAAAAGACATTTCAATCGCCGTGGGAGTGTCTCGGTGGACCGTCAAAAAGGGTTTTAGACCGAGACAACTATCCGCGAAGGTGGCCACAGGTCGTCCGAGGTCAGCTCGGGTTCCGAGGGTTATCGTTGCTATCAAAAGGAAGATTCAGGTGAATCCAGTGCGTTCAATAAGGAAAATGGCAAAGGAACAAGGGATCAGTGACTTTACGGCACGGAAGATCGTAAAGGAAGATTGCGGGGCGAAGTCGAGGGCACGGAAAAAAACTCACATGATTACCAACCGCATCCGGGAGCTACGAGTCGAACGATGCAAGAAATTCTTGGAATTCCTTAAGCGAAAAAATCCGGTAATCCTGTTCACCGACGAGAGCATGTTTACCATCGATCCCGTATCAAATTCCAGAACCGACCGGTATATTAGTTCTCTTCCGGTAAAAGACGTGGCCGACGAGCACAAGAACGTGTATCTGACCAAGCATCCTGCTAGCGTTATGGTGTTTGGATTGGTGGCTTCCGATGGCAAATAAATGGACCCGGTGTGCATTCCAGAAGGCGACAAGGTCAACACGGAGGTTTACATCGGGATTTTAAGTAAGTGTGTTCTTCCGTAGATCAAAGAACAGTACGTTCTGAAGCCAAATATTGTATTTCAACGAGATCAACAAGTTCCAGACTACATTATTAGAACCTGCTGTGCATTCCGGAAGCGTGTGGAGGCCGTAATTGCAGCAAGTGGTCGATCGATCAAGCAATCGATCGATCATTAACATAGTTTAAGACTCTGAGAAACATCTCCCCTTTGAATAAATAAAAAAAACTCGAAAAGATTTTTTTTTATTTTGACATTGCTCATTGTCATTGTTTGCACCATACATTATCAAGCATACGATAGTTTGACCTCCTTTTCTTATCTAGTATCCAAAACACTAAACAGGACAGAATATGTTTATGCAGGACTCTTTGATATGTTTATCAATAAATTATAAAATCGTTTATTGACAAATCCAATTTTGAATCAGCCCCCGTTGTGCTGCTATCGCAGCGGTGATGAGTTAGAAATCATGTGTTACACTAAATACATTTTTGAAATTGTGGGCAAAAAACTATTATTTTATCTTCTTCTTCTTATTTGTATTTCAAGCTTATTGCTTAGTGCATATTAGCTTATTGCGTGCTCTCAAGTTAGTGTTCTAAATGCACTTCCACAGTTCTTAATTGAGAGCTTTCGATGCCAACACCAATGCATGAATTTGTATATTGTGTGGCAAGCACAATGATACTCTATGCCCAGGGAAGTCGAGAAAATTTCCAACCCGAAAGATTCCCTCGACCGGACCGGGAATCGAACCCGCCGCCTCCGGCTTGGTAATACCGTGCCTTTACTGACTAGGCTATGAGGCCAAATATTATTTTATGCACACTTAGAAAAATTCATATAAATTTAGGTGCTCTGAGACTGACATATACGAGCGTCAATTTGGACACAAAATTGATTCATAATAGACACAAAATTCAGCTTAATCAAACGTAATTTTTGTCGAGTTTTTTTCATGACATGTTTTTTAACGTCTTATCCTTTATGTAAAAGATGGATTCCGGTACGTGTAAATTAGGTATTTCTAGGTGTGTATTTATTCTAGCGAGTTTTTGTGTAAGTGTAACATGATTCGAGCAAAAAAGTAATACTCTTAGTAATGGTATATAAAGCTGATTTTTGAAGTGCTTCGTTTCGAAAATATCTTCCAAATAAACAAAAATCATCCAATCATAAACCGGCTAAATCGTATGCCACTTGTAATTAATTTTAGTTAGTGTATTAATCAACAAATTAAATTTGTTTTCTTCTGGTGATACACCGAGAAATCGGCCTATTTATTTTCGGCGATGGATTTTGCCGGCTGACTCTGTCTGATGTTTTTTATTAGTAATTTACAAGTCTTTAAGAATCTTTTTATTTAGGAACAATGCAAAAGAAAACAGTTCTATGGATTTTGTACAATATTCAACCATTCCATAATAAAAAAAATTGCAATTGCAATTGTGAATTGAAATTTCACAATTTTGCAAACAATCAATAACATTTTCAAGGGCTCACACAGACTTATAATCGTCGGTTAGTGTTTATTCCTGCCACCAGGCGCGCAGGAGTTTGAGTTGAATTTCTCAATTTTGACTCTCATAAAGCCGGTTTTATGTAGTGAAAGATGCCTAACGTCAAATATCAGACTTAAAGTGGTCATTTTCTACGATAGATGAGGAGATGAAAGTATTGAGTTGATAGTTCCGCTAGAGTACGGCAGTCTAAAAATTGTATATAGAGAGAGTAGAAAGTGAGCAAAGATCAATTTTTCAGAAGGCACGAATATGGTTGATCAACGCCTTTACCAAACTCCCCTGTTGGGGAGGGATGGTAGGGGTATCTCACCCTCCCACCACTGGCAAAAGAGATGATCGCCAATTTGTTCACGGACTTTCGATGTGCGGAAACAGTTCTATCGATTGTTTCACACACAAATCGTCATCTGATGTAAGCATTAGTTTTATGTGTCAAACACAAACTATATAACCTCTTTTTGTTAATTTCAAATAAAAAATATCACCATTAAATCTTATAATCCCATAGTTCTTCATTTATGTTTTTTTAAGGATCAAGCAAACTAAATGTTTCATTTGTTTTCGAAACACATTCAGCATGTAAATACATTACATATTAGTTTTCAATAACATTACAGAACATAATGACCAATTAACAATGATGAATCTTTGTCATAGAAACCGTTCATCTTGGCATGAAACCTGAGACTATTAGTAACAAAGCTACAATGTAGATATTTTGCAATTATACTGATCAAATTGTGTTGTTCCAATAATCCAATTCCAGTAATTATTCGATGATACTATGTCACTGATTTACTAAGTTTAGTACTTAAAAATGAGTAAATTTTTGAAAATGAGTAGATTTTTGAAAATTTATGCAAACCACTGCTTCAAAGCTGATTGAGAAAATTACACAAACAGATTTATTACTGAGGAAATGTGTGGAAAAATTAAGAAAACACAAATACATTTCTTGTATATTTTCGTTAAAAATTTTGGTCATTTCATATGAAATAAAAAAAAAATTAATCAAACTTCGCATTTTGAAAGATTAAAATAAGAACTTTGTGAAGAGGACATTGAAAATTGAGCTGCACATGATAAAAAATGTAAATTTTAATCGTCACATAAAATCGCGTAATTTTCTGTTTTACTTGGCATAATCAACGAACGTTTTATCAAGCTTGAATACAATTATCGTTAAAATGTTACGCCAATCGCTTTAATTCGCAAAAATCGGTATGATTTTTTTTTAACCGTGTGAAGGAACAATCCGACGGAGACTCCATTACCTTTTTCGTGAAAAATTGAGATCAATCTAGCCTTAATAATGAAACAGAAGCCTAAAGCAATAGCATTTGCTTAAGACTACAAGATACATAATTGAAATATTTGGTTGATGCACATTTTCTTAGAGACTGAGTTTTATGACAGTTTTATAAGATTTCATATTTTTTTTATCTGGTATATTTTCATAATTGCATCAGAATTAACAGCAAGTAAAAAACTAATTAAGTCTATTGGTAGATGGATTTCACCTATTTGAGCAATTAATAGAACATAACATAGACTAAACAGACTCCCAAGGCACAAAAAATTACCAACAAAATTAAAAACCTTGATTTCTCCATATTTTGTTTTCAACCCTTATTGGAAACCGTCACAACCGTTATTGTCACATTTGTCCAAATTCACACTTCATATCAAATGGTTTTTAAATAAAATATCTATTATCAAATGGATTTCACTTTTTTGAGTTATTAACAGAACATAACATAGGCTCAACAGACTCCCAAGGGACAACAAACTACCAACAAAAAATTTCTGACGCTTATTGGAAACCGTCACAACCGTTATTGCCACATTCATTAAAACTTACACTTAATATCAAACAATTTTTTAAATAAAATATAATTTGTCATACGAAATGCATTAAACATACGTGATTTTTTTTTTACGAGTTCATAATATTTATACGTGATTTTTTTCATCCGTATTTTTGATCGTGTGATGTCATATTGCAACCACATTTAGTGCAAATTGTTTAAAAAAAATAGAAAAATTTGGTACTAGTGAAATTTCTTTACTCACCGTAAATGAGGGCGACATCAAAGAAATTAAAATCGCTTAAAAATTAGAATGAAGTGAAAAAATCAAATATCACTAATGAATTTCTTAATGTAAGGAATTAACGTAGTCACTTGGTATTAAGAACTACTATGCTTGTATACTACTATTTACCCTAGTTCCTAAGCCCTCTCATTGCTTGTGAAAAAATCTCTAGAGCGTTATTATGGCTTAAAGTGATTTCCCGTCATTTAAACAATGCTTAGAATTAAATTAATCTCGAACATAAATACATAATGACTGATTATCTAACAAAGTTTTGAATGTAAAAACGTCGACAAGTATGAATATAATACAATATCATTTTTCAGTTTAACTTTAACTCCACCAAAGATTCACATTTTCACACGTCGATCTCTGAACACCACTGTAAGTGACTTGCTGTCATCTCCGTTTCAAAATTCTAAAACAATACCATGCGAAAGGTGTCACAAATACATCAACGCACCTTTCTGTCCACCACGAACGTTGATGAAGGAAAGGCCTTCCCAAAACGGCAGAAAGAGGCAAGCAAATTTACGAGTTGATTAAGCTTCCGATAAACCAGACCGAGCTAGTTAGTAGTTGATGACAAACTTGAAACCGGCTGCACATAATTTTCCGCCTCTCGAAACTTTCTGTTTTGATGAGCAACAACAGTGTTCATGGAAAATTCATCAACTCTCTTCTTCCGTCCATGTAAATGGACCAAAAATCTAGTGCAGATTATGAAAGCAGATAATAAATAAGCCAAAAGATAATAAATCAGAAAACACCTACAATTTTTAGCTTTTTTGTTGTTGTTGTTGCTGAATGATGATTCTGGTCAACCAATGGTGGTGACACAGCGGCTCCTCTTCCGTGATCTATGTGCCTTCAATTTCGCTATCAACGATTACTCGATCAGCTGCGGTGTACTTCTCGGCACTCGCTCTTCTTTTTCCGGCTTTCGGCACTCGTCACACTTTCTACGCGGATCGCGCGGCTGCCTTTTTAAAATATTTACGATTTTCTCGGGAAATTGATTGGAATAATTTTTCACACACTGATTCTTCTCCTGCTGCCTTCAAACGTGCCCAGTCGAAGCAGAAAGACGGTGGTGATTTTTCTTCTGCTTGTGCCTTATTTTCCTTTCTCTGTATGCCTCGTGGGCCTTTCGGAAATTTACGGCTGCGTTGCCGGGTGCCTTGGGTGAAACAAACTTTCGTTACTTTTGATGAATTTTCATGAGAATTTTTCTTCACTCGTTATCGAAAATGCGAAACACTCTTTTTTTTATTTACTTTTCTTCCTCGTCGGACCAACACTTTAATAACACTTTTTTATTCGCGTTACTGCCCTGAAGGGGAAAACTAAGAGGAGAATGCACTGTTAGCCACAAGCTGGACTTTCTCTCATCGATGGAGGAGTCCAATTTTGGTTTCCTAGCGGTCGTTTGTGTCTTCCGTTAATTGCTTATTATAATCTTTTTATTACTCGTCTTCAACTTTCGACCTTCCACTTGTTAGCGTTTTTCTCGTGCGTCAAGCGGCATCGGCAAAGACGAAGACGGCAATTGCAGAGACGAAGTACGTTACGTTGACCACTTAACAGGAGAAGGTGTCAGTGCAAGCGAACGCGCGAGCTGTATTTGTATTTCTATTGTTTCCACTCGGGTAGGTCTATTGTTTATACATCGATGTGTGTCACTTGTCTTGATACGCAAAGCTACACGCTGTCTCGAAGAAAAACGGAAGCTGAACGAAAATACAGATTACTCGGGTGTTTTTGGGAGGGAAACAAATGAATCGAATCGACTAAGCGGCTTCTTCTTCGCAAACTTTGCGCAAAATTCTGATCACTTTTTTCGGCGTTTTCAGCAAAGATGGAGCGTTTATTTTGTTTCCTCTTTTCCGCTAGTTGGAGACAACACACTGAACTTTTTCGGCTTCGTCACGATTTTTCCTTTCTTTTTTTTTTTTGCTCGTCACTACGACTTGCCTACTCGGAACGATTTCGAAGCGAAGATTTTCCGGATTTTCTTCTTTTCCACAACTTAACGCAGCTCGGTGTGTTTTCCACGGCGGCAGACACTTTTGGCGTTTTTCCGATTTTTCTCGCTTCGCTGTGGCAAGTTTTTCCTCCCGTTTCGAATAGTAAATATTTACTGTTTCTATTATTTGAATGCGGTAAGAGAGAGGTTATATATGTGTAATATATAGTAGTATATATATAATTCACCGGATTTACATTAATAAGCAATAAGCGGCAAAAATTTCTGCGGGGATGCGAAACAGCGCGACCTTCCTTAAACGTTGTCGCTCGTAGACTGATTCGAACGGAAAACTCTAAATTTATAACTGAGCGCAAAACGTCTCGCTGGTTTGTGGCGAAGCTCCAAGCGCACGGACGGCGCACACACGTTTCTCCCTAAAAACGGTATCTAATATCGAAGGCACTCACCAAGACGAATGCATGGGGTCGCGAAATCGCTCAAATCCTCTCACCGGTACCAATCACAGTCCAGTTAGCTCTCGCCATTCACACGAATCAACTGCGATTCGTTTGCATCCGAACCACGTGTACGTGTGTATGGGTGTTTATGATCAATCTTCGTAGCACGAGCGCGATATAATAAAATTTATCCATAAAAAAAAACACATTGCCGTCGAGTATGCGAGAGGCAATTGTATTTCTCTCTCGAGTTCGCGCTCTCACCCATCTGTTCCGGGAGCATAACGTTCTCTTTCTTTTGTATTGAACACAATGAAACCACGTGTGCGTATAGTTGCTATAAAAACACACACGAGTGCGCGCTCGCGTGATATACAGAGAATGTGGAACATGTTTGCCATAACAAGGGGGCTCTCAAAGTGAACTCACTCGCACAGCCTGGCGTTCGTTTGTTTTTCCCGGTGGGAAGAAGGAGCTAGGAAAAATGCTTGCATATGGCCACCGGAAAATGTAAACTAAGGTAGGTGGTTTGTGGAACGTATCTCTGGATGAAACATAACTGTGCACTGGTATGAAGCAAAAAACTGCTGCTCAGTAGTTGTTATCAATGATATTTTTTTTATTTGATCAACAAACAACACGGTATTCATATTACAGTAGTATTATGGCCATCTACTTATAATCATGTTTTAGCTCACATTGAGCTAGCTCATTCCAAGATTGATGGATAAAATACCCAAGAAGCGTTGAGGGCTACGCACGTTGCATCTGTTAGTGATACGCTGCGGCAAAATGACAGCCTAATTTATTGTCTAACTGCTATAACTGGTGCTGGTACTCAACAGTACCGAAAAATAAAACTGCGTTTTAAATTTAACATGAAAAACGATGCATATAAGAGATAAAAAAAAAAAGATTTACACATGATCATAATTCCAGCTAGTTTAATTAATTTTACTTTAACAAACGTAGGTAAAAAAAATACCGTCGTGATGAGGATTTCAGGTGTAGCCAAACTAAAACATATTCATATGAGAACAATGAATTAATAATAGCATGTGGTAAATTTCTAATAGGGACACCTATAGGGCTGCGTAGTATGAAATAAAAGAACGATATGAATTAATTGTAGAAAATGTTCACCATATAGCCATTAAACCACAGTTGGAAATGTAAACAGAAGGGCTAATTTGCTAATTAATCAGGTCACGCTAAATTGAGCAAAAATGTACCCCCTTCTTCCTTCCGTCACGTTTTTCCTATAGCTAATACATAGAGCGTGACAAAATACGCATCATCACTTAGAATACATCCAAAATTTTAAACTGTTTTGATAAACGGAGAAATCCAATCTACGCACAGTTTGTACAATCAAATTCGCGTGTTTTGAATCTGCAAACATATTAAATTTATTATTACTTAGGGAAAACTTATATTTTCTATCAAGAGCGATTCCAGACAAATCCGCAAATCTATTATATCCAAGCTATCAGTGTCAATCGATGCTCCTGCTATTACACTATATACTTTTCGAATAAAGGATCACATCCGATTTTTTAATTTATTTTTTAGTCAAATTGCTATTTGAAGTGGGGGCGACCCCGGCGTAGTGGTTAACATCCAAACCTCTCACGCCAAAGTCACGAGTTCAAATCTCACCCCCGGACAAGTCACGAATGACCCAAGAGTGTTAAAGTGACTATAATAATAATAAAAAAAAAAAAAGCTATTTGAAGTAACCACTTTCAAAATATTTTTCGATGTTACTTAAGTCACCTCTATGGAGATGCCGTTTGTCTTAAGTAACAGAAAAACCCGTGAAATGTGTAGGTTCGTCGTTTCACTTTTTCAATATTAAAGTGAATAAATTGAACTGCACAGCAAAAAATAAATTTTAATATTACATCCATCAAGTTGCACTTCAATCATGTCGAAAATCTCATGTTATTTTCATGGCAATAAAAAAAAATTGCAGTAAAATCAGCGTAATGTCAGTTCATGCACTGTATTAATGATAATTTTGTCCTTTTTGGCAAGTAATATTACACCAAATTTTCGACACGATTGAAGTGCATCCACTTTGATGTGATATTAAAATGATTTTTTTTGCTGTGTGTTTGTTCCTAAGATGATTTCAGTTTTCTAAAAATGATGAACGGGCTGCACGTAAAGAGCCATGATTGATGATTCTCTCGAATATCCTGGTAAATACACTTTGACTTAAGTAATATAAGGGGGCCACCAAACGACGTATAATAACTTTTGACTCAAAAACTAGTATTTTTTAGCATGAAAGCTAGCGATCTGCTTTGTATGATTAAAAACCTGTTCAATATGTTAAACATTGCTACCACTATGAGATTCTATGTGTTTAATTGGAAATAGGAATAAGTGTTCGGTCATCAAAACAAAACTTTATGGTTCTCGGATCGGTGCGAATGTTACTTTCGACAAAATAAAATTTTTCTCTTGACTTCATATATTGAGAGTAGGGTAGAGAACTACTTCGGCCTAATCGCCCATTTCAGGGCAATATAGAGCAGAAAACATCAAATAAACCCTTGATTTCGGCGTAAACAAGTCAATTAAGCGTTTGGTACTATAATTTAGTTCAAAAACTACCAAACAAAGTCAATAAGAATACGTGATATTCTCAAATCACCTACTATTCTCAAAAACAAAACAAAAAACGGCTCCAACTGAATCAATTTTTATCTTCATCCGATAAGCCGAAGTAAATTCAATGGCGTTTGAATGTCGTTTCAATACGTTAGCCAAATTTAAAATCCATAGGCCGAGTTTGGAGTCAAGAAGCAGTGTTAGATTTTAAACGATATCTCAACAATTTGTTACATTTAGAAGACATCTGCAGTGAAAACATTCCATTTTGTAAAAAAAAAAATCGCTCGAAAAATAGAGGCAAAGGGCAGGTTGTTCTTAGTAGGCCCAAAACAAGATCTAAGCCCTAAACCAAATGTTGCTAAGTTGCACCGTTTTCGAGAGGTAGCGCTTTGAATGTTTTTTTTTTTTAATGTTGGTAGTTTTTGACCACATTCGAATGTATTTCGCGGTTCTCTAGCTCTAACAATATTTTTTCGAGAAGGATCAGAAAATGTACAATAAAATTTCTAATGGTGGCTTATCGATATGATCTAAATTACCCGGAATATGTGTTTGTTTCAAAACAATTTGCTTCCATTTCATGAAAATACATATTTTGCTCGTTCGCAAATACAAACAACTTATTATTGGGACTTTACGAGAATGATTTAATTTATTTTTACATTGCTAGATTGATGTAGTTGTAGCAGAAATCCATACTTTACTTCTTAGTAATATCAACAATTTTCTTTTCATTGGTACAGATTGAAAACTGTGTGACACAGGGGGTAAGTCACTCTGTCACCTTGTGTTAAAACCCACAAAAACACACTGTGATACATTCCAAACACCTTGTGATGCAGGCTGCCACCCGATAAAAGATAATTTTTCATCAACTCTGGCACCACTTCCAAGAATGTTTACATCATGTGTTGTTTATAATAGACCAATCCACGGTCTGATTTTATCATTCACGTTTGACAGTATGATCTGTTTTTTATTGTTCCGAACCTCTGTAATGAGTAAACAAACCAATCTAACCTGTCAAATTTAAAAATAATTAGAACGATTGGTTTATTTATATGAGCTAGGATATCAGCAGAGGCAGGATTGATTTGTAGACTGTATTTGTTTTTGTTGGCATACTTTAACAGACAGTACATTGGATTGAGCACCTCATGCGAACCATTCTTGAGAAACGCCACCGTAATCCAGACCTCCTTCCCCTCGGAAGATGATGTACAGCCTTCGCCATAGTTCGTAAGCTGGTAGGTGCCTGAGTTGGTGGTAGGAGTCTTCAAACAAAGTTTTCTGAGTCAGTGTAATCTCGATATGGGATGCGAGGTGCTGGAATTGACTGAGCTTCCATCAAAAGAACCGTTCGTAGGCTCGTGGAAGTCCGTAGAACCGCACACTACGAAAAAGACATGTAAATTTCAGTGCCCTGAGACCGACACATGCAAGCGGCCCTTTTGACATAAGAATCAGTTGAAAAGGACGACAAAATCAATTCAATCAAACGCACTTTTCGTCGAGTTGCATATGTTTCAGTTTCAGGACACTTAATTTTACATGCCATGTTTGTTTACGTTCCATGCTTTACGTCAAAGCTAAATTACGTCTCGTATAAAAATAATAATTTCTAAGTGTGCGCTCCCCAGTTGCCGTTGAACCCGTTTTTTCCAAAGGTTTGTTCCGTATAATTGGCGATAATAGCACCGTCAAAACATCGTCTCTTCTTGCAAAGATTGACAGTTTCTAATGGAAATTTTTGTTGCAGTGAAAGGATAATATAGGAGTAAAGAACTACCCAAGTAACAATTTCCAGTTGAAGAAACGCTTTCGTTTTGATTTTTTTCAGCTGCATGTTGAATAATAATTGCACAATGTGTTCACCACAACTTTTATAAAACCCTTGTTTACACTGGTTTGGAGAACCTATACAACTGCAACACAAAGGTGTTGTCTAACGTATTCAAGTAAAACGTTTACCCAAAATCAATTTCTTGTTGAAGAAACGCTTCCATTGGGATTTTATTCAACTGCATGCTGAATAATAACTGTACAACTTGTTTATTACAACTTCTGTAAAACTCTTGTTTACACTGATTTGGAGAACCTGTTCAACGACAGCATTATATGTATACGCGGTATAGGAGTAGAAGCAACTTTTATACATCGTTTATAGATACATATTTAAACTCAAGCTTTATTATTTTGGCGAAAGCTCTTATACAACGTTTGTAGACACTTCTTGACAGCTGCTTTGAAATTTAGTAGAGAGTAAACCTGAGAGGTGTTTGTTGCACTCTTT